GGCTTCTTTCCTCATTTGTTCAATACCCCCGATCATCAACAGTATGTGGGTCGCATCCCTGATCTGGAATTTTACGATCCCGACGGCATGATGGCTAAAAAGAAAGACGAACTGACTCGTTGGCACGCCGATCAAGTCCGTCGGAACGTGCCCTTCCATTTCCAGCAAGAAATGATTGATTATTGCAAATCCGATGTGGCTCTATTGAAAGCGGGGTGTGAAGCCTTTCAACAAGAATTTGAACAGCAAGCCGGTTTCAACCCTATGGCCAAGTGCATTACCATTGCCAGTGCCTGCAATTTGTATTGGCGCAAGCATCATTTGACCCCCGATACTATTGCGGTGGAACCTCTGGCGGGTTGGCGAGGAGCCCACGTCAATCAATCCCTCAAAGCCCTACAATGGCTCTACTACCAGGAACACCTTATTCCCAAAGAAGGGGCCTGTGCTGACCGTATTCGTCACGTTCGCAATGGGGGCGAACAGTCCATCCGAACCAGTGCCCACCGTCATTTTGTCGATGGCTACGATCCTGTGACTCGCACCATCTACGAGTTTCATGGATGTCTCTATCATGGCTGTCCCCGCTGTTATCCCAGGAGAAACGCCAAACATTATGCCACACCGGATCGAACCGTGGAGGAACTCTATCAAGCCACGCTCTCCAAACGCATGGCACTGCTCCGAGCGGATTATACAGTCATTGAAATGTGGGAATGTGAATGGGACCAACTGGTGGACACGGATGAAGCCGTCCAACGTTTTCTCAATTCCTTTGATCTGGTGGCACCCCTAGAACCCCGTGAAGCCTTCTTCGGGGGTCGAACCGGTGCGGTGGCTCTGCATGCTGTGGCTGGAGAAGGTGAGGAAATACGCTATGTGGATGTGACCTCCCTGTACCCGTGGGTGAATAAGAACTGTCCCTACCCCATCGGGCATCCGCGGATCATCACGCAACCCGCCGACCAGTCCCTGGAGTCTTATTTTGGTGTCGCTACTGTGGACATTCTTCCTCCCACTGGTTTGTTCCACCCTGTCTTGCCCGTGCGTAGCGGGAACAAGCTCACGTTTCCTCTCTGTCGTGCTTGTGTTCAGTCCGAACAGGCCCAACCCATGTTGACCCGAACCCGCTATTGCCCTCATTCCGATGCGGATCGTACGCTACGCGGCACCTGGTGCACACCCGAATTGGTCAAAGCCGTTGAAAAGGGGTACACGCTGATCAAGATTCACGAGGTCTGGCATTTTCCCCCCGAGCAACGCCGAACGGGTCTTTTTGCCGATTACGTGAACACGTGGCTCAAGTTGAAACAAGAATCCGCGGGATGGCCCAGTTGGTGTCAGACCCTCGAGCAGAAACGTAACTACATTCTTCGCTATCAGGAACGGGAAGGCATCCGACTGGACATTGCCAGCATTGCCAAGAACCCCGGTCGGAAAGCCACGGCCAAACTCATGCTGAACAGTTTCTGGGGCAAATTCGGGGAGCGGATCAACAAACCCACCACCGTCACTGTTCAACACCCCGCTGATTTGTTCAGACTCGTCTCTGATGCCGCCCTCGATCTCAGCACGCTCCGCCTTTGCACCGATGATATCTTGGAAGCTGTTTACACCAGCGTCCACGACAATGCTGTCAAAGGTACCAAGACCAATATTTTCATAGCCGCTTTCACTACCTGTCATGCTCGACTCAAGCTCTACGAGTCCCTGGATACCCTTCAACAGCAAGTCCTCTATTACGACACTGATAGTGTGGTGTACAAGTGGCGCCCCGGTCAACCCAGCATTGCCACCGGCGATTTTCTCGGGGATATGACCGATGAATTAGATGGCGACATCATCACCGAATTTGTTTCGGGGGGCGCCAAGAATTATGGGTACCAGACCCGTGGAGGCAAAGTGGTATGCAAGGTACGCGGTTTCACGCTGAACGCCCGTGGGTCGGCCATTCTCAATTTTCAGACCATGAAAGAGAATATTCTTTCGGAATTAGATTCGCCCCAGGACTCTCGCCGCAATTTGAACATCACGAACCCTTATTATTTCAAACGAGATTTGGAACAGAAACAAATTCAAGTGGTTCCGCGCGTGAAGCAGTATGGGTTGGTGTTCGACAAGCGCGTCATCGAGGTCGCCACTCGTTCCAGTTATCCCTATGGCCACGAGAGGATTGGGGACGAACTCGACCTGCTATTAGATTTGTAATGGGCGTGACGTCAATAGGGCGTCACACACGTCCCGCTTGTACCCAGGGCTTTACGCGGTCATTAAAACTATGTCAAGAATGTAGATTCAACTCTTGTGTGCGTGTGTTCTTTATTCCATGGGGTCACGTGTCAAACCATGCCCATATATGGGCATTTGTGACGTCAAGAGCCTGGGTGCCTGGCCCATTATCTTTTATTTTGTAAAGAATTACCAGCTAGAATGTTAGTACTCTTTAAATGTTTGGGTAAAACTGGCCAAACCACCCTCTCCCACTGAAAAAGTAAATATGAAAATGCCATATTGCAAACTTCTTGTTCATCACGGTTCATTTTTTGGGGGTGTGGTTTAATGACCTTTTTGTTTAGGGGGGGGGGGGTCATTCTCATCTCTGGTTTCTTCGTATGTCAAGTCCCTCTATGTTAGGTTCACTGTGGAATAACACAAGTATCAAGCTGTTAGCAAAATGTCATTTATTTTGTAGTTTCCAAATGCCTTTAGTTTTACCCTTGGTATTTCCTGTGAGAATAATAATTCTCACACATTATGCAATTACCTTTTAATAATTAATAATTTAATAATTATTATTTTACTAGGAGAGCAAAAAAAAAGAAAGCAACCAAGTCGACCAGATGTGATGTCATACCTGTCAGAAAAGAAGGAGTTAGAAAAAGAACTGAGATCCCAGGAGCTAGAATACAAACGAGATGCACTTGAGGCTGAGACTAAACCTAGGAGGGGGCAAATAAAAGTTGAGAAGAGACGCATTTCCCTGCAGGAGTAACAAATGAACAAGCAGCTTGAATTATTAAAAGCTTTTATGAGCTCCAAAAAGTAGCACTACAAATTAATGTTGTATGCTTGCGCGAGACTTCATGTTGACCTTTCATGTTTCACTTTTGTAAGAAGAGAAGTTAGGAAGTTATGGAAGTGGCCTTTTATCTGAGTTGAAGAAACTTACCAAAGTTTGATATCAGTAAATCAAAAAGTGATGAAAAATGTAGCTGAAGTTTTCGAGTTAAAGTTGTATTTGTCAGTTTAATTATCAATTAATTAAGGTATGTGTGTAGTTCAGGGGGAGGCAGGGAA